GTCCCCCCGCCTCAGCAGCGGCCGGGCATTGGGCCTTGGCCGTCGCTTCACCGCCCTCCACCGAGCAGCCTCGGACACGAAGAAAATACCGGAGGACATAGGGAATCCGTTAAAATGCCCCTGCGGCATGGCGACAGCTGGGTTTTCTGCCCCCTTCTCCTCAGCCAGGGGCGGTTTCGGTTCCTGAAGGCCGGAGCTGCTGCTGCCCCATCACCTGGGGGACAGGTTTTACAATTTAAATCAATAAGCCAGACTCAAAGCAGCAGCCTCAGTAGTTTTACGTTATTAAAAATACATACGGGTAAGGCTGTCCTTTGAAGCAGCGTGCAGTGTCACACGCACAAAGAAGCCTGGCAGGGACAAAGCATCAAAAGGCTGCAAATGCCTGTCAAAAGAAATCTATTTTTGAAAAGCTGATGCATAAATTCAAAGTATAAACCAGATGTTTAAAATAGACATGGCAAAGAAGTTCTAATCTCTTAAATATTTTTTTTTCTTTTTGAAGAGGCTGGATAAGGCAGCAAGAACTTCATGGGATCAAAGTGGTGAGTGGGTTGGAGTTAATAATGCTTTCTTTTATTAAAGTACTTAAATGGAAAAAGCACACTTTGCAGTGAGTGACATTGCAGCCTGGAACGACCGTCTCCAAGGAAAAGCATGACTCATGGCAATCTTAATGCATCTCGTCCTGAATGCACAGTATCTTCACATCCGAGACGCTCTCCTTTTTCTATCAAACGTGACACACGCATACGGAAACACCAGGAATACAGGCATAAGGCCTTAATTGCACTGCATCTTCGTAACACCAAATGGCTAACAACGTTCAAAGCTGCTAAAATGACAAAGAACAGCATAATACAAATCAGCCATCAGTTCAAGCAGTAGATGCAACCTTAAGCTACATCTAAAAATAAATATTGATTTATTATGATTATTTTGAAGTGCACTCATTCAATGAGAAATTCTTATTTCTGTTTTTGCAATAACATGTAAGTACCTGGGTGCTCTTCACTGAGACAGAAAAGGAGACCGTGTTTTTTATTTATAAAAATACATACTTATATTCCTCCCACAAATATTAGAAAACTCTAGTACCAGCAAAAAAGCAGCAAGCTATTGTATCTTACAGATGCATCATCAAACCACTGCTCCTGTTTTGGCACAGGCAGACTGTTTCTAACAGACAGTACCAATTAGTATCTTGGCAAAGTGAGCCTCCAACGTAACTGCAGATACACAAGATGTAATTAAAACACATCCACTCGGTATAAAAAAACCTGAACATTTTCAAGTACACCAATGAAAGTTGTATTGCTTCAGTGTCTTCTGACACAAGGATAACAGAAGGAGATTTCCAGTACCCCAGAACAATCACCAGTAACATCAGTCTAAAGAATTCAAGAGTCAGTTTACAAAATATACAGAACACATACAGATTTAATTTATTTACCAGTCAATTTTAAAGCCAGTGTTAAAGGTTTTAACGGCCTGAATTCCAAAGCACATGTTACAACCTTTTCTCAGAAATCTCAAGTGCTATATAAAAATCAAATGCAGATTCTCACATGGCCTCAACTGCACTTTCTGTAGCTTCAAACTGCAGCGCCTCTAGGAATAACAAAAACCGATCTGGTAAAAACAACAGTAATTTTAACTTGCAACTGTATATTGCAAAAATAACACACTACTTTCTAGAACTCAGAAGCAAATTTTCTCATCTTAGAGGCCACCAAAATAGTTCAAGGACAATACACCATAAACCAGACAATCTCCCATCGCTCTGATCTTTCGTACTATCTATCTCCTGTATTCACCAAGGAGCTGTAGATTTTCTTGAGCATCTCTCTCCAATTAAAAAAACAAACTGCATCAGCTTCAGATTAAAAAGAAAAATCAAACTTTAATATTCATTTAAACAGACTTCTAGAATGAACTATTCTCAGAATAATCCACCATTGGTACAAAAGTATTACAGTACTTGAGACATAAAATACCGTAACATCAATAAGGAATAAATCTATTTACATAAAAACAGCCCTTACAAAATGCACTTCAGGTAGCCCAGCGTACCATCACCCCCTCAAATGATGGCAGAACATCAGCAAACTGCTAGAATGAATGCACCATTTTGCCATTTTTTCCTTTTTCTTTTTTTTTCCCCAATACGAAAGTGGATTATTAGCTTCTATCCATCTGACGGATAATAGACACAGAATTTCTGTAGTTTCAGGAACTCTGCTCTTCCCCCATAAAGTTATTATTATCCATGCAAACCTTTTAAAACAATGAGTCTACCTCTCTCAAATCGAGAGTACCACCTCTTGGAGCAAAGCTACCTTCAACAGACAGAAATGTCAACACTGCTAGGCCAAATGCCTTTACCAGCCTCACTATAGTTTTAAGATGTTCTCGAGACAAACAGGATGCATATCAGCATAATCAAAATTTAATTATAAAAGACAGATGTAATAAATACAAAAATAAAGTTCTAGCGGCACGTTTCTGAGATTGATTACTCGTTTAAGACTTCATAAAGTTGTGAGGTATTTTCACTTCCACAAACAGAAGAGCACTGTACAAATTTTCCATCCAAGAATCTTTAATCTCTGAAGCCCAGCAGTCACCAGGATACTATATTTAAAACAACTTCCGCATGTTTAAACATATGAAGGAAGAGTCTTCAATTTTCTATAATTTACTATACAAACTCTTACAAAAATCAAAATCAAAGAATAATTTCCAATTATTTGCAACAAATTAAATGTAAGTTTGTTCTGCCCAACATAAATCTTGATGAATTAAACATTAACAGGTTGATGGAATATTTTCTCCTCATTCCTCTACACAGGAAATATATTTCTTGCACCCTTACATGTAAACAGGAAGTCAGGTCTGAAAGCACTGACCTCCAGGGGGAAGAATTACAGACTGATTTATGACCTCCAAAAGCAAGACTGCAGAGCACCCTTTGGTAATGGAATTTCCTTCTGCTGTAGACATTTCTAGTGGAGAGAGAAAGAAAGGACAAGGGAAAAAGAAACATGTATTTTAATTTGCCATCTCTTCTCAGCAATTTTGATGGCTCTTACTGCACACATTCAAAGCACTGCTAATAAAATGTACCCAAATCAATTCTGAAATGAAAGTACAAACTCTGAAGCTCTTATTTTATCCAAAGATTATTTTAATATCATAATCTAAGTCAAAATTCACAAAAAAATTTAAATAATCAAGTACTTTACAGTTTTGCAGACTTTCTTAAAAAGAAAGATGCAGAATACAACACTAAAACGCTGCAGAGCAGTTCAAAGTGTCACTTCCTCATGTATCTAATCAGGACAACAGCTAAAAATAAGCAAACCGCTGATAAAAAATAGGTGTTACAGAAATGACTCTGTAGAATCCTCCTCAACCTCTACATCTCACTGCAAGTAGTCTCACTGAACTTCGTTTATAATCAAAATACGTTTCCACTGAGAAAAATTACATGTGAGGTAGGAAGGAAGCGAGATGTTTGACTTCGTAACTATGATTAAGGTAATTCAGTAACCGACAAGTTAGAAAACACAGGTTACACCACAGTGACGGGTCTGGACTATCAGGTATGCTGCAAGCAGCACCAGCCTCATTATCACAGTGATGCATATATCCAACAAAGGGAAAACACCCCAAAACCAAAACACTTGAAAACTAAAAAAAAAACAAAACCAAACTGCTTTACCTCCAAGAACTTCTTGAAACGCATTAAAGAGCCCATCTGTCCAGAGCTGGTAATTGCTTCAATCCTGCAGAAGTAACAGCATGTTTCAAAATCTACTTGGCCCGTTGGGGTTGATTTACAAGTGGGCATGGGGGTGAATGACAGAGATTGGAAAAGATGAGCGAATCATTTAAGAGCAAACACTCACAAAGTGAAAAACAAGGATTGTTTCACATTCCTAACCCCAGATACCATACCTTGGGCAATAGTCTTCTCGCATAAGTAACATCATTTTCCAGAACTGCATCTGATACTCTTTCATGAGAGCGTTGCCACACACCTATGGTACACAAATCCACAAAGACCAGGTTCCAGAACTGGGTTTCAGACTAGAGCGACAACTTCAATGAACCTGTTCGATATCAACCACTTACTATTTTACCCATACATTTAAAGAAATATACCTACACCTACAATAAAACCAGCAAACCCTCCAAATGCCGTTACTGCCACCACAATGACCTTTTTTCCTTGTTGACTGTGTGGTGGCCACTGATACCAATTTTATGCTATTCTTCCCCTCACTCCGTTCTCCCTCCAAAAACAACAGCCCTCCCTAGCATCACTTGCTAGGGCATGCTGTAGTCATTTCCCCACCTTGATTACTGCAGTGTGGATTCCTCAGCTTTCTTCATACAGTCAGTTTACAGGACAAATGTTCCTCAAACTTCACTGCTATTAACAGAATACCCAAGGTGTATTTCACTTTGCACTTTACTTTCTCTTTTCTACTTTTAAAGTTCTTTAGAAGGCATTTGATAAGCCCAAAGACTGCTTGCATTGAACAGCGTTTGTCTCCCCTGACTTCAGTCTTTAACTTTGGCTCTTAGCTCTGACATATATCCTAGAATATAGGATTAACCTACGTCAGGCTCTGTCCTTTTCAGTCTGAAAATCCCATCCTGTTTTGTAAAGTAATTCAGGTGGAAAGGCCACAGGACCTTGCTGCACTGTACAAACTGATGCCAAGTGCTTAACAGACCTTACTCTTACAGGACCGTGCAACTACTTTTAAAATACCAGGAACTGTAAACAGAAACAAATATAACAACAGAAGTTGCATGTATAAAAACTTCTGGGTTTAAATCATTCAGCTCCAAAGCTGTATTTGCAAGAACACAGAAATACTGACATTCCTTTCTGAAGGATTAAGGACAAGTTAAAAAAATCCCTGTTAAAAATCACAATGGACCTCACCTCAGCAACCGCTTCAGAAACTGTTACCAGTTTAGATCCCTTTAACCACCACTAATCCACATTGCTTACCTCCAGAAAATCAAAGAGAAGTGTAGCTGTCACATCTACCAGAGGCTCCATATTCAACATCTGAGCAAGCCAGCGCCATCCATAGTTCAGCCCATGAGGATGCGTCTATAAAACAACAAAAAAGCTACCCACCACTTGTTTTAAAACTTGCAAAATGCTATTATCCAAACAGGCAGTTTTTTGATTTACTTTCTTCTTTATAAAGTTATTTTGCAACAGCCCTACATACAACTCGAACGTTATGAAGAAATAAAGACAGGAAGGTCTACACTACAAATTACTTTACATTGCTTTGTTGATTATGGTTATGACCATCTCCCTTCAAATATATTATGAGCTGGTTTAAAAGTTCAGCACACCTTAACTACCAATTAAGTTTACAATACATTTAATAGACTGTTGGGATAGTAACAAGGTTCTGATTATAATGTCATACACGCATACCCCTTGTTTGTTTCCGTAAGGCCACCGGAGTTGAATGATAGCAGCATAAAGACGAATCATTCCTGACATCCGTTTAAGAAAATGATCTTGCTCTTCCATCTTAGAATCCTTAACTTGATATCCAAGCATCCTAAGTATGAGAAGACATTCCAGTATTAGTACAGCAAAACACATTCACTTGAGTTCCTGCAGTTCTCAACTTGCTTTAAGTCAACTGTCCTGAGAATAGGGATACACCCAAACCATACAAGAATTATTGCAAAGGCTGATCATTATCCTCCAGATCACATGTTCCACTATTTTATACCACATAGAATATTTAGGTTCTGTACTGGATAATGAACCAAGCTATGGCTATCAACTGTTCTTTGTCAACTGTTCTTTGAGAAGGACGACGAAGCAGCAAAAGAGCACTTCCAAAGCTGAAGGACACAGCATCCTCCAGGGTAACAGGGTCAGGGGAGCTGCACGCTTGTAATCAGAGATGGGGAGAAGTGGAGTTCACTCAGAAGAATACAGTCTTCACTCTTGCAGGGTTCATGCTGAAGAAGTCCAATAATAAATTTACCTCTGATAATCTTCCATAGAAGTCCCCTCTTTCAATGCAGGGTAAAATGGCACAGAATAGGGGCACTTTTTGTGCAGATGAGCTAAAAAGAGTTCTCCAACTCGAGGGTGCATTTCCCAGATTCCTGAGGCCACCACAGCAATCGGGAAAGCTGAATCACGGTGAGAAGCTACTTCTTCTTCTCCTTGATTCTGGAGGGGGGAAAGGAAAGTCAGTCCCCACCTCTTCAAGCCATTTCTCAGACAAAAAAATCCTCTTTTTTGTGTAATTAGCCTCTACTACAGGATCCTAATGTTTCCACGGCTATGTAGCCAACCACAGAAAAGCTGATAAAGCTGTGTCCTCAGCTCCCACAGACGATGACAATAAACTTTGGCTCAGGACAGAAAGAAGGGGTTGGCAAACACAGGCACAAAGCACAAGGCTGCACAGATATTTTTACTCCAAACAATCATTTTCAACTGTTTACGTATCAGTTGCAGTTTTACTCCATGGGCTATTTATTTTTTGCATATATTTGTCACTGCAGGGACAAAAGAAAGTTTAAACAGCCCAAATTTAGCAGATAAAGAATAGAAAAAAATATTTCCAACTTCAAAAAGCAGCTTAAACAATGACACTTCATTTGTTGGGAGGTGCTAACTGCACAGCAGGAACAGCAGTTTGCCTCTTGGGCCTTAGCCCCCCCCTCCCCACCCCCAATTCTGCCACGATGTAAGGTTTTGAGCACATACAGAGTTTTGTGATAGACCATAAATTACCTGTTACAAACTGTTTTCTACCAACACTGTACATAACTAGTTCAGAATATGTAACATGTAATCA